AATACAAGCTACTGAACAGACACCTAAGGCAACTGGACTCTTAACTCATATAAGTTAATTACATCTCTAAACCTGGGTGATACGAACTATGAGGTAAGTATCCTGAATAATTCCAGTTGCCTTTTAAAACAAACAAACAAAAAGCAACAAATAAGCAAGCAAACAAGCAAACCAATTTCCCCAGAAATTAAAAACATATCCATAGTGCTTTTTTACTAATTAGATACAGAAATGTGTTGTATTTACCAAATTGCTAAGCAACCACTATCAAGCTCTTGCCTTATTTTGACTGCTATTCCACAAGCAATTTGATTACTTGAATTTATATACAAATCCACAAACATTTGTGACACTGAGGAGGAAAAAACTTCTATGGAAATTTTGTTTTGGATAGATGTTTTTCTATCCACTCCTTTCTGGTTTCCCCTGCAAAGATATCCTATTTGATTCTGTTTGCAGTAGCCAAGACATGACAAAGGAATAATTTTGCCAAACAGAAATACCCTGCTATGAAACATAACACATCAAAAGAAGAAAAGATTGCTAACAATAAAAAGATATATGTAGTGTTTCACAAAGCTGCAATATATAAATTTACTTCCAAAATGAACTATCTTTGTACTAAAGATTTCATGGCAAAATGTTGTATGGTTTTGTTGTTTTATTAACACTTACTTACTTTTTCAAAATATACTATGGAAAATTTACAAGTCATTATGAATAATCATAAAGCAATAAAACAAAGTTAGTCTTGCCAAATAAATGAGCAATGTAATGCAATGAGATCTTGCATTCTCATTCTCAGAATTCCTTGCCTCGTAATAGATCAACATGCCATCATTAGTACAATTAGTAAAGATATAACAGAATCATAGAAACCTTAGATTTTGAAAAGACCTCTAAGGATCATCTAATCCAACTTCTCTGCAATGAACAGGTACATGCACAGCTACATCAGATTACTCAGAGCCTGATCCTGGATGTATTCAGGGACATCCACCACATCTCTGGGCAAGCTGTTACAGTGCCTCTCAACCTTTATCTTTTTTCTTATATCCTACCTTAATCTACTCTCTTTAAGTTTGAAAGTTTCCCCTTGTCCTATCACCACAGACCTGTTGCCTTTGCTTCGGCAACCTCTGAATAATGTCCCGTTGTGAAGTGCTCAGACAGCCCCGGCCAAATCACACGCTTTTATGACACCAATGTGGTGAGCGGCAAATGGCACTTACTGCAAGCAACACACTCTTCTTATAGTTGTCCCTTATTTCACAGTGCTACCAATCACCCTTGCTACGGTTATCTGTGCCCAATAGACATGTGGCATGTCTTGTCTTGCCATGTCTCATCATGGTTTTCTTATGAGTCAAGGAGCCCCCGCAGAGGCTGATGACTGTTACAGCCCCCCTTTCACGTATTAGCTAACCACGCAAGGGGCCCACACAGATTACGCCTGGTTACGCCTGGTGACCTTGACAGCCCCCGCTTTACGTATTTGTTGACTACATCTCTAACTTACGTATTTTGTTAACTACACAGACCCTGCAAAAGAATCTGTCCCCTTCTTTCCTGTAACTCCTCTTCAGATGATGAAAGGCTGCTATCTGGTCATCTTGATGCCTTCTTTTACCAGGCTTAACAGACCCAGCTCTCTCAGCCTGACCTCATAGGAGAGGTGTTCCATCCCTTGAATCATTTTTGTGGCCCTCCTCTGGGCATGCTCCAACAGGTCCATGACTCTTCTACGCTGAGGATTCCACATCTGGATGCAGTACTTCAGGTAAGGCCTCACCAGCAGAGTAGAGGGGCAGGATCACCTTACTTACCCTGACGGCCACACTTCCTTGGATGCAGACCAGAATACTGTTGGTTTTCTGGGATGGGGGGGCACATTGCTGGCTCATGTGCAGCTTACTATTCACCAGTACCCCTGAGTACTTTACAGCAGGGCTGCTCTATCCTTACACTAGCTTGTATTGGCAGTGGATGTTGGCTCAACCCAGGTACAAGACCTTGTACAAGGATTTGTTGAACCTCATGAGGCTCACTTGGGCCCACTGCTCAAACCTGCCTAGGACCCTCTGGATGGCATCCCAGTCCATGGGCATGTGAACTGCACCCCACAGCTTCATGTCATTAGCAAATTCGGTGAGGGTGCACCTGACTCCACTGTCAATGTAATTGATGAGGATATTAAACAGTATTTATTGGTCCAAGAACTGATCCCTGGGGGACACCATTCATCACCAGTCTCCATCTAGGCATTGAACCATTGACCACTCTCTGGATTTGATCCTGCAGCCAGCTCTTCATTCATCTAAAATTCCATCCATCAAAACCATATATTTCCGATTAGCAGAGAAGAATTTTGTGGGGTACTGTGTCAAAAGCCTTACTTAAATCCAGAGATATGACACCACTGGCTTCTCCTCTGTCCATTGATGCAGTTACAGCATCATAGAAAGTCAGAAGATTGGTCAAGCAGGATTTGCCCTTGGTGAAGCTGTGCTGGTTCTCCTGTATTACCTTACTGTCTTTCAATGCCTTAGCATAGATCCATGAGGATCTGCTCCATGATCTTTCCCAGTACAGAGACAAGACTGACAGGTCGGTATTTCCCTGTGTGATCCTTTTTGCCCTTTTTGAAAATGGGTGGGAGGTTGCCTTTTTTTCCAGTCACCAGGAACTTCACCTGGCTGCTGTGACATTTCAAATATCATAGAGAGTGGCTTGGCAATTACATCAGCCAATTTCCTCTAGATTCAAAGATTCATCTCATCACGACCCAGAGACTTCTCGATATTCAGGTTCCTCATGTGGTTATGAATCTGATCTTCACTTACAGTGGGAAGGATATTGATTCCCCAAAACCCTTCTTCTAAACCAAACATTCAGCTGTGTGATGAGCAGTTATCAGAGAAGACTGAGGCAAAAATATTGTTGAGTACCTCAGCCTTCTCTTTGTTTTTAACAGCTTGCCAGTGTCTCCGCTAGTGGGGTATGACCTCCTGGACTTTTCTGCCTCTTGACAACTTTAGTTCAAGTTGGGCCTTGTCTTTCCTGACCTCATCCCTACACAGGCTAGCAGCTTTTTTTCTCTCTTCCCATGGTAACTGTCCCTGCTTCTACTAGTTGTGCATTTTCATCTTGCTCTTCAGTTTGGCCAGCAGGTCCTTGTTCAGCCATGGCAGTCTCTTGCCTTCCTTTCTTGACTTCTTATACCTGGGGATAGAGAGCTCTTTTGCCCTGAGGAAAGCTTCCTTAAAAATGCGCCAGCTCTGTTCCATACCCTTGTCATTTTACTCTGTTTCATATCCCTCAGGTGTATGAACTACATTATGGCATGGTCACTAGAGCCAAGGAAGCCTCCTATCCTGATGTCGCTGATCTGCATTGGCTGTCCCGGCCACAACCGCAGCAACTGACTGTGAAGAACAGGTGGGTTTCAGTTGGTTCATTCATTCAGGGAACCCCGAGATAACAGAGCAGCCCGGCAGCTCTTGTAAGAGCAGCTGATATGAAGTGGGCATTGCCAGGGCAATGGCTCTTCATCCATGCCCCTGCCTTGAAAAAGTCCCAGGAACAGAGAGGAGGAGTCAGGGTGAATCACGTAGGGTGTTCAAATGCAGAGAAATCAGAAGCCACCTCTTTGTCAGGACTGCACAGTGAGGAGGGTTGTTATCACTGTGAAGAGAGCAATAAGTGCAGGGGCACCTGCTAATGGCTTGGTAATGGGACAAGGGCGGTGCCAGCACTACCAGCAGCAGGGCAGGGCTGATCAGTCACTGCCCATCAAGGCTGTCCAAATAGTGCTGGTGAGTCTGCTGGATTGCCATGACTGCACCCCGGTGGAAGGCTACTGCCATGTAAAATGTGGAGACCCAGACAGAGGTCCCATGTTCACACAAAAGGAAGGCTGCAGCCAAGAAGAATGTAGAGACCCAGACTGAGGTCGTGAAACAAGATGCTAGTGTGCAGGTCTCTGGACTTACTAAACCTTCTGGTTAACCTGAAGGAGGAGGTGGAGAGGCTGAGGACCATAAAGGAGTGTGAGAGGGAGATTGATTGGTGGTGCCAAACCCTATCGGCCCCGAAATCTTGGCACACAGCTGAGGCTCCACATGGAGCATGTCAGCCTCTGTCGTCTTGCAAACAGGCAATAGATAGGAACCAGCAGGCAGGCAGTGTTCCTGCTGCTATGAGTCCCCTGTCCTCTCCCCTTCCAAGCAACAATGGTGAAGAATCAGGGGATGTGGGGAAGTGGCAAAATACCCCTGCTCGGCAAGACAGGCGCACCTTCCTAGAGATTCCCCTGCCTCCCCAGCTGCCCCTGTGGAACAGGTACAGTGCTCTGCAGGGACAACTGGACAATGATGATGGTTCTCCCCAGTGGTGGTGTTATCAATGTCTAACCAGACCTCACTTGGCATTAAAACCTTGTCAGCAAAGAAAAAATGACGGTCATTGTCATTGGTAACTCTCTGCTGAAGGAAGCAGAAGGGCCAATATGTAGACCAGACCCTCTACACAGTGAGGTCTGTTGCCTTCCAGGAGCCCGGGTTAAACATGTAAGGAAGAAACTTCCTTCCCTAGTTTGGCCTTCAGATTACTATCCCCTGTTTTTGTTTCAGGTAGGTGGCAATAATACAGGAAGAACTTCCCTAAAGACTATGAAAAAGGATTTCAGAGCCTTGGGGCAATAGATAAAGGGTTTGGGAGCACAAGTTGTGTTCTCTATCCCTCCAGTTATAGGGGATATTGAGGGTCTAAATATGAAGGGTCAGTGGATTAATAACTGGCTCCAAGCCTGATGTGCCTGGCAGGGTTTTGGATTTTTTGACCTTTGCTCTGTTTGCATGAGACCAGGCCTACTGGCAACTGATAGGAGTAGCTTCTCCCACTGGTGGAAAGGGGTCATAAGATAGGAGTTGGGAAGGTTCATTGATAGAGCTTTAAACTAGGTACAAAGGGCGGTGGGACATAACTGGGGTCACCAGAACAGAGCCTGTATGTAACATGCCAGTGCTTGCAGGACATGTATCTACATGGACTACTAAGATCCCACAGACTTGTGTCATGGTGAAGGAGGAGGACAACTCATCCTTTCGTAGAAAGAACACAAGCATTGCTGTGAGGTTGGTGGCTATGGAAACACTTGAGTATGGTCCTGAGGGTATTAGGACTACTGCCACTCAAAAGGAGGCCCAGCTCAGGCTTTTACACTAATGCATGCAGCATGGGTAATAAACAGGAAGAGCTGGAGACCACTGTGTGGTAGGAAAGCTATGACATAGTTTCCATCACAGAAACAAAGTGGAATGACTCGCACAGCTGGAGTGCTGTGATGGATGGCTACTGACTTTTCAAAAGAGATAGGCAAGGCAGGAGAGGTGGTGGTATGGCCCTCTATGTTAAGAAAGAAAGCAAATGTATGGAAATTAATGATGGCGATAGGGTTGAGAGCTTATATGTCAGAATAAAAGCAAAGGCCAATAAGACTGATATTATCCTGGGAGTCTGCTACAGGCCACCCAACGAGGATGAAGAGGTGGACGAGATGCTTTATAAACAGTTGGGTGAGGTCTCTAGGTCACTCCCCTTTGTTCTGGTGGGGGACTTCAACTTCACAGACATCTGCTGGATTTATAATACAGTAGATAGGGAACAGTCCTGTAGGTCCCTAGAGTGTGTGGAAGTTAACTTGACACAGCTGGCGAAGGAGCCAGTAAGGGGAAGCAAAATCCTGAAGATGTTGTTTGTTAACAGAGAAAGTCTTGTAGGGGATGTAAAGGTTGGAGGCCATCTGGGGCATAGTGATCATGAGATTTCTCAATCCTTGTTCAACCACAAAGGGGAGTCAGCACAACTGCCACCTTGGACTTCTGGAGGGCAGATTTTAACCTCTTTAGGACCATGATTGAGAGGGTCCCTTGGAAGGTAGTTCTGGAGAGCGTGGGAGCTCAGGAAGGCTGGGAATAATTTAAGGAAGTACTTTTAAAGGTGCAGGAGCAGACCATCCCCAAATCACAGAAAATGAGCCAATGGGCAAGGAGGCCGGGCTGGCTGAACAGAGACCTTTGGCTGGAACTCAAGAACAAAAGGAAAGCTTATGGAAGTTTATGGGCAAGCTACTTATGATGATTACAGGTACATAGTGGAGCTGTGCAGGGAGAAAATTAGAAAAGTCAAAGCGCAGCTAGAACTGAATTTGGCCACTAAAGTAGAGGAAAACAATAAATATTTATATAAATACATCAACAGAAAGAGGAAGGCTAGGGATAATCTCCATGCCTTGTTGGATGCCGAGGGTGTCACAATGACCAGGGATCAGGGTAAGGCTGAAGTACTTAATGCCTTCTTTACCTCAGTTTTTAATAGTAAGATTTGTTACTCCCTGGGAACACAGCCCCCTGTGCTGGTAGATTGGGATGGGGAACAGAATAGGCCCTGCATGATCCATGACGAGATGGCTTTGGATCTGCTGCGAAAGCTGGGTGCTCACAAGCCCATGAGGCTGGATGTGGAATGCACCCTAGAGTGCTGATGGAATTGGTGGATGTGGTTGCCCAGCCACTCTCCATCATTCTTTGGCAGTCCTGGCTAACCGGGGATGTCCCAGTGGACTGAAGACTAGCAAATGTGATGCCCATCTTCAAAAAGGGCCGGAAAGATGATCCTGGTAGCTACAGACCTATCAGTCGGTGTGAGGGAAGGTTATGGAATGGATAATCTCGGGAGCCATTACGGACCAGTTAAAGGTCTACCAGGGGATCAGGCCCAGTCAGCATGAGATTATGAATGGTAGACCCTGTTTGGCAAACCTGATTTCAGCCTATGACAGAATGGCCCGCTTAGTGGATGAAGACTGTCAGTGTGGTCTACCTGGACTTCAGTAAAGCCTTTGACACTGTCCCCCATAATATTCTTGTGGAGAAGCTGGCTGTCAGTGATTTGGATGGGCATATGCTTCACTGGGTGAAATACTGGCAGGATGGTGGGATCCAAGGAGTTGTGGTCAGTGGAGTTAAATCCAGTTGACAGCCAGTCACAAGTAGTGTCCCATAGGGCTTGGTACTTGGGCTGCTTCTATTTAACATCTTTATTAACGATCACAGAATTATAGGATCACAGAATGGCCTGGGTTGAAAAGGAACTCAAAGATCATCTGGTTTCAACCCCCTTGCTATGAGCAGGGTCACCAGCCACTAGACCAGGCTGCGCAGAGCCGCATCCAGCCTGGCCTTGAATGCCTTCAGGGATGGGGTATCCACAACCACCTGGGGCAACCTGTTATAGTGTGTCACTTCCCTCTGTGTGAAAAACTTCCTACTAATCTCTAAACTAAACCTACCCTGTCTTAGTTTAAAACCATTCCCCCTTGTCCTACCACAATTCACCCTCATAAACAGCCATTCTCCCTCCTGTTTATAAGCTCCCTTCGAGTACTGGAAGGCCACAATGAGGTCTCCCCAGAACTTTCTCTTTTCTAAGCTAAATAAGCACAGTTCCCCCAGTCTTTCCTCATAGCGGAGATGCCTTCTGATCATCTTAGTTGCCCTCCTCTGACCCATTCCAAGAGCTCCACATTCTTCCTGTACTGGGGGCTGCAGGCCTGGACGCAATACTCCAGATGGAGCCTCACAAGAGCTAAGTAGAGGGGGACAATCACCTCCTGCTCCATGCTGGCCACCCCTTTTTTAATGCAGCCCAGAACACAGTGGCCTTCCAGGCTGCAAATGCACACTGCTGGCTCATGTCCAGCTTTTTGTCCACCAGGACCCCCAAGTCCTTCTCCGCAGGGCTGCTCTCAAGGAGATCTTCCCCCGGTTTGTGTAAATACCTGAGATGCCAGCACTCTACACTTGGCCTTATTGAACCTTATTAGGTTTTCATGGGCCCACTTCTCCATCTGTCCCTCTGAATGGCTTACCTTCCTTCCAATATATCAACTGCACCACTCAGCTTGCTGTCATCTGCAAACTTGCTGAGGGTGCTGTCGATGCCATCATCTATGTCATTGATGAAGATGCTGAAGAGCACTGGTTCCAAGACCAACTCCTGAAGGACACCACTTGTGACGAGCATCCACCCTGACACAGAACCACTGATCACAACCCTTTGGCTGTGTCCAGCCAGCCAATTCCTAATCCATCACACAGTCCATCCTTCAAATCCATACCTCTCCAATGTAGAGAGAAGGATGTGGTGAGGGACCATGTAAAAGCCTTTGCAGAAGTCCAGATACATGACATTTTCTGCCCTTCCCCCATCCACTGAAGCCATCACTTCATCATAGAAGGCCACCAGATTGGCCAGGCACGATGCCTTTGGTCAGCCACTGCCCTTGGTGAAGCCATGCTGGCTGTCTTGAATAATCTCTTTATTTCGTGTGTGCCTTAACATGGATTCTAGGAGGATCTGCTCCATGATCTTCCCAGGCATAGAGGTGAGGCTTACCAGCCTGTAGTTCCCCAGGCCTTCCTTTCTCCCTTTCTTAAAAATAGGAGTAGTGTTTCCCTTTCTCCAGTCACCAGGGACTTCACCAGACTTCCATGATTTTTCAAATATGATGGAGAGCATCTTGGCAACCACATCAGCCTCTTTCAGAGCCCTAGGATGGATATCATTTGGCCCCATTGATGTATACACGTTCAATTTTATGAGAAGGACTAGGACTTGTTCCATCTTTACAGTGGGACAGAAACCACTCCCCACACCCTCACCTAGAGGCTCATGGTCCTGGCAAACACGGGAAATCTGATCACCCATGAAGTCTGAGGCAAAGCTCTCATTGAGTACCTCAGCTTTTTCTATGTCTGAGGAAGCCAGCTCCCCATTACCTTTCATCATGGGGGGAACACTCTCCTTGGCCTGTCTCTTCCTGCCTATGTACCTGTAAAACCCCTTCTTGAATTCTTTCACATTCCTCACCAAGTTCAGTTCCATCTGCTCCTTGTCTTTCCTAATCCTATCTCTAAATGGAGATCTCAATCTCAATGGAGATCTGAAATGGAGGTATCAATCTCTTGATGAGGGGATTTAATGTACCCTCAGTAAGTTTGCAGACAACACCAAGTTGGATGGGATTGTTGATCTGCCAGAGGGGAGAAAGGCACTACAGAGGGTCCTGGATAGAGTGGATCGATGGGCCAATGTAAACCATATGAGTTTCAATAGGGCCAAGTGTCGGGTCCTGCATTTTGGTCGCAACTCCAGGCAACCCTACAATGAGTTTCAATAGGGCCAAGTGTTGAGTCCTGCATTTTGGTCACAACAACCCCAGGCAACCCTACAGGCTTGGGGAAGAGTGGCTGGAAAGATGTTTGAAGGAAAGGAACCTTGGTATACTGATGGAAGTCAGTTGAATATGAGCCAGCAGTGTGCCCAGGTGGCCAAGAAGGCCAATGGCATCCTGGCTTGTATCAGGAACAGCGTTGTGAACAGGACTAGGGAAGTCATCCTGCCCCTGTATTTGGCAATGGTGAGGCCTCACCTCTAGTACTGTGTTCAGTTTTGGGCACCTCAGTACAGAAGGGACATTGAGGTGCTAGAGCAGGTTCAGAGAAGGGCAACAAGGCTTGTGAAGACCTTGGAGAATATGCCCTATGAGGAACAACTGCAGGAGCTGGGGTTGTTCACTCTGGGGAAAAGGAGGCTGAGGGGAGACCTTTTTGCTCTCTTCCAATATCTGAAAAGTGCTTACAGCGGCAGCGGGGTTGGTCTCTTCTCACTGGTGACAGGTGACAGGACGAGGGGAAATGACCTTAAGTTTTGGCAGGGTAAGTTTAAGTTGGATATCATGAAGAACTTCTTTACAGAAAGGGTTGTTGAGCACTGGAGTAGGGTCCCCAGGGTGGTGGTTGAGTCACCATTCCTAAATGTGTTTAAAAACCATTTGGATGTGGTGCTCAGGGACATGATTTAGCAGAGGGTTGTTAGAGTTAGGGTAGTATGGCTAGGCTGTAGGTGGACTCAATGATCTTTAAGGTCTTTTCCAACCTGAGTGATTCCATGATTCTAAGTGCTTGTGATTGCGACACCTGTAGCTGACAGGTAGAAGGTTTCATCAACAGGCTCTGCTTGATCAGGTATCCTATAGTAGGCACCAGACACAAGGCTCCCTTGCTGCCATGCTCTGTCACCTGTAGGTTTACAACTTACTTATGGCTGTCTTTAGGGAAAGCTCTTCACATTCTATTCCTTTCCCAATATAGATAGCAACAATCCCTCCCCTCCTTCCTCACCTGTCCCTACTGAACAGCTTGTGGTTGTTGGTACCTATTATCTAGTGTTGCTACATATAATCTAACAGACATTTTCTTATTTTTTAACCAATGTCTCTGGGCCAGTGTTTCATACACAGTAGCCTCCTTGAATTCAGTGGAAATACAATATTTTTTACTGAATGGTAAATTGACCCCACATATTTGCAACAAGGAATTTCAGAAGACTGTAACAAGCACCGAAGAAACTTCTCTGGTCAAGGAAAGCTGTGTGCCTTCTGAATGGTGCATTTTCTAAGCTATTTTCTACTCAGTGCTGTGACAGTTCATAGCTATTAATAATGTTGGTGGCACAATTCCATCTTACTACAAATGCAATTTTTTCTACATTTAAAATAAATGTATGACGTTAAGAATAACAGAGGAGGGAAAAAACAAGGAAATAAGCCCTGAGGGAGAAAGTGGAGCTTGAAGTCACTATTCATGTCTGAAGGTCATCTAATCTACTCCCCATGCGCAGGCAGGGACACCTAGAGCAGTGTCTGATGGCATTTGAAGCTCTTTAAAAAGGAGACTCCACAACCTTTCTGGGAAACATGTGGAATCTATTTAAGAGAATCCCAGCTTTTAGCACAGAATGATTAGAGGATTTTATATTGTTGAATTTTAAAATCTCTGCTATTTTCAACAGTGATGAACAGCACTGGAAGAAAATTCATCTCCAAAGAAATGAAACTATGACCCCCTTAACGTGTCTGGATCATCTCCTAGTTATCGCAGGGCATGTAGTACAGAATTGTTTTTTGCTTTTAAGGAACAGAATCATTGCATATTGACATTGAAGATGCTGACTATTCATCAGTCGTTATTCTTGCATAGTAGCATTATTCTCATCACACCACCCTTCTGGATCCCAGGTATCCAATTGCAAAACTGTGCCTACACTTCTTGAGTTATTTTATAATTTACTGTGGTAAAAGCAGGCAGATACATAGTATGATTAGACCTTGACAGAAACATCTTACAAAGAACCTTTGTCAGAAGCTCTAGAAATGCATTATTTCCTCAACAACTCTACCTTCTTTTTGCTCATATTAAAACACTGCGTATTTTTAGAGTTAGTTTTGTATTCCTCTGTTGTGTGATTTTAGAATATCCTCCTTGTCCAATGCTTTGCAGGAAAGTACTGTAGTTTCTAGTTTGGTTTGAAGCAGAAGCATCAGTCTTACATAGGAGGTTATTTTTCTTCTACTACACACCACAGCAAGAACTACTTGCACAACTGCATCCAGTGGAATGTCATTTTGCTGTGGTCATTTTTTAAGGGAAGGAAGTATTGTAACTAGTTTTCAGCTTCACATTAAAAACAAATTGAAACAAAATTTGTTGCTTGATTGAAAATTCTACAAAGCAGTATAATTAAAAATCATGAGCAAGGCAAAGCTAATCCTTTACAGAAGAAGTACATTACCCACAATAACTAATAGTAGTACTAACTTGACTTGTGTTTCTCTAGGTTTTAATATCCCACCATCAGCTACTGGCTTTGTAACCATTTCATCACTTTCATGTCCTTCTGAAAAAGAGAAGTAGTCATTCTCCAGTGCAATTATCTCTGCTTTAAGCAGTCACGATAAGAGGCCATGCTAATTTAAATCTGTCTTTGGAGGTAATTTATGCTTTAACCTTGGTCTTGACATTTATTCTGTATTCTTCCTCTTTATTCTCCCTAAACTATTCAAGCTGTGTCCATAAAACAAAAACCTCATTATATAAACCTCAGTTTTCCAGTCCTTTAATGGAATGCTAGACAGTTGTGACAGTTAAATGTCCATGCTTCTTTTGAGGATTACACATTTTACTAATGAATACAAGATGACTATTTAGCGCTTTATTAATAACTACTTAAGAATGTAAATAATTATGCCAAATGTTTAACTATTTAATAATTATTTCAGAATTTTAATGACTTTGAATGTAGAAAAACTGACAAAATTATAAAAAAATTAAAAAAAAAAAAAAAAAAAAAAAAAAGAATGGATAAACTCCAGATTTTAAAATACTTTCTGAAATAATGATGCTTTCATAAGTAAATAATTATCTCTTTCCATTTAATACATTTCCATATAAGACAAAGAATGTTCTGAGTACATGTAGCTCAAAATACATTTTTAAAATGAATTAAAATGAGATTTTAAAAGGAGGAAAAAAAAAAAGGTATTATTACCAAGTGTCCTTGATATCCAAAAGGATTTTTTTTTTTTTTTTTTTTCAATTATTAATGCTTTTACTCCCATTGTATAGCAGCCAATAAATAAAAGTCAGGTCTTTGCCTCCCGGCAATTTTATGGCAAAAACAGTGACAAGTGGGATGGGGGGGAGAGCTGGAAACAAAATAGTGCTTATGGGTTGATAAAAAAACTATAGAATAACTTCTTGCCTAATCCACCAGCTGTCCTGATTCTGCTTCCCCAGCATGTTGCTGCGGTGCTATTCCCTTCCAAGCGGTCTGGCCTGGCACACAACCATTATTCAACAGTAACCAAAATATCAGTTTGCTATTAACACAGTCTCAGCTGAAACCGGGATGCTACCAAAACAGGAGTATACATTTGAGCTTTACTCTCAATTTAGGGTACAGATTATAAAATATTGACCCAGAATAAATGTATACCTGATTTTTATTATATATATATATATATACATATATATACATATATATACATATATATAGGGAATGTATTATCTTTGGTTGGGATGGATTAAGTTCTCTTCATAGTAGCCCATATGGTGGTAAATTTTGGATTTGTAATGAAAACAGTGCTTATGGCATACTAACGTTCCTGCCATTGTCAAGCAGTGCTTAAAAAGCCAATGTAATTTCTCCTTATGCTGCCCTGCTACTTAGTAGGTTGGGGGTGCATAAGAGGTTGGAAGGAAACATAGCCAGGGCAGATAATTGAAATTGGTCAGAGGGGTGTGGAATCATAAAATATTTTGAGTTGAAAGGAGACTTTAAAGTCCAACTCTCCTGCAATGAACAGGGACATCTTTAGGAAGATCATAATGGTCAGAGCCCTGCCCAGCCTGGCCTTGAATGTCTCCAGGGAAAAGCATATTCCACATAATATGCTCAGTAACAGAACTATAGGGGAGTTTCTCAAAGAGAGTCATCACTTAGTAACTGGCTGCCACTGGTCTGCTGCTGCTGGTGAATGATTACTTTTGCATCAGTTGTTCTCTTTTTTTCCTTTTTTGTTCTGTGCTTTTTCTTTTCTTTGTTTTCTTTTCCTTTCTCCCTCACTTTCCTTGTTAAACAGTTTTGTTTTTTTTTTTCTTGACTCAGGACTTTTTTCATAATTGCCCTTCAAATTCTCTTCTCCATCCTGCCAAGGTGATACATAAGCAACTGCATAGTGTTTTTTTATGAACTGTGTCAACAAACTGCAGAGGGAAGCAGGTAATGTAATTATATCCTTTTTATGTAAAATAATCCATATAAATAGCCTTGGATTAATTAAATTATATATCTGATTCACCAAGAGTTGGATAGAAGACTTTATGAACAAAGTAATAAGATGATGCTATATTTAAAATTGAATAACTTTGGCAAGCTTCGAATGAACCATGTTTTTCAGTGAAGGAAAGTTTTCCAAAGGAAATTGCTTTGCTAATGTTTGGTACATGAGATATCATTTGAAGCACTTTTTTTTTTTTTTCCCTGTAGAGCAAGTTTTGAAACCTCCACCTACTTATCTTTCATTAAATGGTTTTGCTTTTTGCTTTGATTAGCATTACTGTTTAGATGTTGGTAAGAAACTGAATGTTGTTGTGTTTGTTGACAGTAAATGTTAGTAATAGATTTTTTTATAAACTTGACACTAATTAAGTATTTGGAGTATTATGATAGTCAGAGCTAGTAAGAGTATAAACACAAATTCCTATTAAATATATTCATTTATTCATTTCCCTTTCCTGACAGGTTGTTTCTAATGACTAATCATGCTTTTGAAGTCTTTAACATGAACATAAAAGGAGTCATAAAACCATTAATATTATATTTTCCTGGATTTTTTCTTTGTTGATGTTTTGTTTTAAGCTAGAAAATAGCATCTGATCCTGAATTGAGTTCCACTGAAAATATTAAAATTTACTGTTAACATCTAAAGAGATAAGAAAGCCTTATGATGTTATGAGAGAATTAGCACTAAAATTTGTTTTTACTCTTGATCCTGTTAGTTGATGGATCTTGCCGCCCGCCAATATTATGCTTACTTTCTAACTTCAACCTTTTGTTAGACAGAATTTCTTATTTACATTTAAAGTATGTTAAGTAATATTGAATCATGCAAAATGGAAATGTGCTAAAATACAGTTAAAAACACACAGTTAAATCATGCTTTCATTTGAAGAAAAGTTTGCAGTATATAAATAACTCCAAGGAGCTACATTTTTTTGTGCATTTCAGCAGAATATTTCACAGAATACTGGATTTATTTATTTTTTATTCATATATGTATCTTGTAATATATCCATAAGGAAATACTTTGACATACAGTGATGCTACTGATACATTCCTAAAAACAGCAGCTCTGATGTAGGTTTTAAACATACTTAATTTGTGGAAAACAAAATCTTGTGTGAAATTAACAGCTTGATTAGCTTATCTAAGTATCATTTATCAAGTATGTTTATCCTGTGGTAATCTGGAAAGGAAACAGCTGTTGGTGCTGAAGTTCATGCTAGAAACACGTAACTTTGGAAAAACTTACCTTCAGTTCCAATTCTGAGCTGTGGTATTTTACATGGCAAAATTTCTGTAATGGAAATGTCTACCGGCCTCATGTTACATAAAAATCAGTTCCAGCAGGATCAAAATGGACCTGCCAGTGGCCAAACCTGAGCCAATGAATGAGTGATGTTTATTGTGCCTCCTTGATAACATAGTTAAGTAAATGGAAAAAAAAAAAAAAAATGGTGCAACCGCAAATGAGAGAAGAGAACAGGGAGAAGATGTGAGAAAGCCATGCAGATGCCACATTTAGTGAAGAAGGAGGGCAGGAGGATTTTCAGACCTTTGAGCAGAAGCCTGTGGTATATCATGGCAGTGCAGATCTCCATTATGCAGCCTGTGGAGAAGTCACAGAATCACAGAATCACAGAATTGTAGGGGTTGGAAGGGACCTCCAGAGATCATCGAGTCCAACCCCCCTGCCAAAGCAGGTTCCCTACACCAGGTCGCACAGGTAGGCATCCAGGCAGGTCTTGAACATCTCCAGAGAAGGAGACTCCACAACCTCCCTGGGCAGCCTGTTCCAGTGCTCCGTCACCCTCACTGTAAAGAAGTTCTTGTGCACGTTTGTGCAGAACTTCCTATGCTGCAGTTTCCAGCCGTTTCCCCTTGTCCTGTCTCCATTCACCACTGAAAAGAGTCCAGCCTTGCCATTCTGCCCCTCATACCTTAGATATTTATAGACCTGCATCAGGTCCCCTCTCAGTCTTCTTTTCTCAAGGCTGAACAGACCCAGTTCACTCAGCCTTTCTTCATAGGAGAGATGCTCCAGGCCCTTCACCATCTTTGTGGCCCTCCACTGGACTCTTTTCAAGAGATCCCTGTCTTTTTTGTACTGGGGAGCCCAGAACTGGATGCAGTACTCCAGATGAGGCCTTACCAGGGGAGATAATACTGTGTCAGCCTATTCCTGAAAGACTGTAGGCCACAGTATAGATGATCTTTAACATCTTTATCAAAGACATTGATGAAAGAATTGAGTGCACCCTCAGCAAGTTTGCTGATGACACCAAGCTGAGTGGTGTGGTTGACATGGTGGAAAGAAGGGATGCCATTCAGAGGAACTTCAATAGGCTTGAAAGGTGAGCTGTCATGGTTCTACAATTTTTGCTTATCAGAACTCCACATCATAACATCATGTAGTGCACTGGGAGCTAATGCTCCAATTTTGGGTACCTGTCTGGAAAGAGAAGAACTACATACTTCGGGGGGCTTTGCAGTCAGAGAGGAGATATAACCCCTAGCTAGGTCACCTGACGCACTCTTCTTCATCTGCTCTCCTCCCTACTGCTTAACAGGACTGCACATCTCACATCAGTGTTATGGTGAGGCCTATCCACCTTTTGGACACTCTCTCTCATTATGTTCGATTTATTAGCTTCAATTTCAATTATATTGTATTATCGTGTGTTATCTTGCATTCTGATATTATATTTAGTAAATTAGCTTGTTTCTTCTCAGATCATTGCCTCTGTTTTTAATTATTTTGGGGTCTCCTGCTTCCCTTTTCTGGAGGCACGGATTTTGTGAAATCCCTCTGCCCTGCTAGTCATGGAAACGGGCTGAACCGGCTCATAAACCATTGACAGTGGGCCAAGATGAAACTAATGAGGTTCAACACAGCAAAGTGCAAGGTTTTGCACTTGGGCCAGAGGAATCCCAGGCATTTATACAGACTGGAATGAGCAGTCCTTGAGAGCAGCCCCGCAGAGAAAGACCTGGGGGTCCTGTTGGATGAAAAACTTAACACGAACCAGCAGTGTGCTTTTGCAGCTCAGAAAGTAAATGGTATCCTGGGCTCTATCAGAAGAGAGGTGGCCAGCAGGGATAGGGAGGTGATTATCTCCCTCTCTGCTCTTGTGAGGACCCATCTGGACACCCCACCTGGAGCACTGAGTCCCGGCCTGGAGCCCCCGGTACAAGAAAGAATGGAGCTGTTGGAGACAGTCCAGAGGAGAGCCACAAAGACGATCAGGGAGCTGGAGCAACTCCCCTATGAAGACAGGCTGAGGGAGATGGGCTTGTTTAGCCTGGAGAAAAGAAGGCTGCAGGGTGACCTAACTGCAGCCTTTCAGTACCTAAAGGGAGCTTACAAACAGGAGGGGAGTCAACTCTTTGAAAGGGTAGATAACAGCAGGACAAGGGGAAAATGGTTTTAAGTTGAGGGAGGGAAGATTTTGGTTGGATGTTAGGGGGAAGTTCTTTACAGAGAGAGTGGTGAGGTGCTGGAACAGGCTGCCCAGAGAGGTTGTGGATACCCCATCCCTGGAGGTGTTCAAGGCCAGATTGGATGGGGCCTTGGGCAGCCTGGTCTAGTATTAAATGTGGAGGTTGTTGGCCCTGCCTGAGGCAGGGGGTTGGAGATTCATGATCGTTGAGGTCCCTTCCAACCCAGGCCATTCTGTGATTAGTTTGCAAAGGCTGGCATCCTGGGGAGGGAATTCACACTGGAGCAGGAATGGGGAGAGGGTGTGATCATGAAGGAGCAACAAAGTGTTATGAATTGATGACAGCATCTGTTCCCTGTTACCTTGTTGTGCTTGAATGAGGCAGAAGAGGTTGTTTTTAGTTTCCTTTGAGTTCTTACTGCCCTAATCTGTTATAGGACACAAACTATGTTAATCTTCCTACATTAAGTCTGTTTCTTCCATAACAGTAATCAATGGATGATTTCACTCTCATCTCAGACCAGGATCTTTGTTTATGTCCTACCCCTGTCCTCTACAGATGCAGAATGAGAGAGCAGTATGATATAATCTAGCTGTCCATCAGTGTTAAAGCAATGCAACTGCAGATTGGAGTGAGATAAAAGAACAATAGTCCACAATGCACAGGTGGATGAGAAGGTCTATTTCAGATAAATATGATTAATAACACTGAAGACCACCTTGTAAAAGAGTGGAGAAAGGATGTCTTTGGTGTTACCATATAACACCTGGAGAATAAAGTTAGGTGAAAATATTTCAGTTGTTTTAAGACAAAATGCAGAACTCAGAGAAGGAAGCTAATGCAAAGTAGGAGGAAATGAATGAAGAAAGGAACGAAAGTTAAGGAAGTAAGAAAGAAGGAAAGACTTCAGACATCAGTTTTCAATTTTATCAAATGATGGGTTAAAAAATTGCAAATGTATGTACATGTGAATTTATTCTTACAGGGATCTTAGGATAATGAAAAATCTATGATTGCCATGTTATGAAAACAAACAAAAAACAAACAAAAAGCAAGCAAACAAACAAACAAACAAACAAAAAAAACAGCACCAAAACCCTCATAAATCTTGAAAAACAAAAAGGTTTTAAAATGTATATATATAGTTTTGGTAAATTCCTTTTGTTTCAGGGACAAATGCAAAATTTGTTCCTTTACTTAAGATCAGATTTATCCTTTTTAGGGAAGTTATGTCTCTCCCTGTCCTTTTTGCCCATAATCTATGTATCTACGATCAATGATGGGCTCTGATGAGTAAGTGAGGTAATTTGAGATAAAAGTGAGATGACTGTCTTTAATGTAGTACATAGAATAAATAACTAACAGAAGTATGAGAAGTAAATATTTCTGGGATAATTCCCATGGAACTTGACAAAGATACTGTACTCCAGGGGAAATTGTATGTAGTCAGACTCTCACATTTTATAAATAGCTTTAGCTTTGTTAAAAATTGATTACAATTGTTGAGAACATCTGAATATCATCATGGGTTAATGTTAAATAATAGATAAATCATCTATATGCAAAAATGAAAAATAAAGAGAATTTCTAGCAACAGGGCAAGATATCCTGAATTTGCATCTAATAATATTGAACCAAAAAACGGATACTGTTAAGGACAGTTAGAATCATTGACCATAAGTAATTCCATTTAAATCTAGTAAGAAATGTCAGGGTTCACTGAGCTCAGTGTTAAAAGGATCAGTGGACAATGGTGCAGTAGCTCAGAACTCAGAACTGCTCAAAACCCCAGAAGACCTGGGACTTTCATAAACTTCTTGAAATTTACTCCCATTTAACATCTCTGGCAATGTCCACAAGTTTATTGATGTCTCTAGGTGTGGTATTTACCTTCCTCGTTTTTCAGAAGGCAAATCTGTGGAAATTTGGAATATTCTGTTCCAAGTTTTTCCAAGAATTAGCAACAAACTCCGAAGAAGGAATCTAAAATAAATTTAAGATTCTATCTTAATCTTATCAGATTCTATAAGTTTTTCTTAAAAATAATTCAGATTTTATCCTTGATAATTGAACTTCTGGAGGTAATTTAGGCAGCTATTATCAATATGTTCAGTATGGTCAGTATGATCCCTCCCTGCTCTGTGGACTGCTATGAAGTCAACAACTGCTTATAAAAGCATTCCAGAACCAAGGCTTAAATAAGCTGCAATTTAAAAGCCATGTGAGCACAGAAGTAAAAGTTTTCTATATTTTGTAGGCATATACAAGTATATATATTTACACTTACTGTGTTGATCCTTACTTCAACTTCCTGTTGAAACAAGGACATACTTGAAATAAAATTGAAGGCATTGCTTTCAGAGCAGGCTTTGTTTAGGGGAATTTATTTTTTTATTCTATTTTCTGCATTTTTTGAAGATTTCAAATAACTACATTAAGCTGTTCTCAGGGTAGGGGGTCATACATTTTCACCTCTTATGTATCTTCTACATAGTATAGAGACAGAATGATCTTTTAAAAGTATAAAACTCTGATATATAATTAGATTAACTGTATTCTCAGCTAAAGCTTCAAATTTGAAATATGAAATTTCAAACTACCATTTGTGTGAAAGGGGGCTTAATTATCCTACCAAACGCCACAGATCTCAATCGGTATTGCACATGATATTTTAAAGATGTCATTAAAGTATCAGATTAGATCAAAATCAAAATGAGGCAGGTCAAACAAAAAGACATTGAGTCAGTTAATTTTTACAAAGAGAAAATAAGGAAAATAATAAAGTAAGGTTTAAATAGATTTACCAGGAGGAGGTATTATTTATAGGAAAATAACAAGTAAAAAGTAAGAAGGTAAAAGAAGTTCTAAGTGATGAATGGATAAGGTGCTGAGATTTAAGGAAACAAAAGACATCTAAAAACTAATTCTTCCACTTGTATGGTAGGAGAATATGTTCTCTTCTTGGAGTCACCTGTACAAGCTGACAGATTTACAGTTCAGACAAATGTAGAGCTCCTGTTACACAGACCCTTTTATTCTTGTAATGTTTCAAAGACTTGCTAAACCTGTCAAAACCTGGCAACTTTGAGGAGTACCCCAACAGGACTGTACGTATCAGGCTTAGAAGCTGCCCCTGTTAAAGATCCCTATTGCAACAGAAGCTACAGACAGACTGCACTGCGGTAAACAATCCTAATGGACTTCATATTGCCAGCAGCACAGTAGCAATGAAGAATTAGACAGGGAAATAAATTATCAAGTTGAATGGATCAGAATAAGGAAGTAAATCCAAAACCACTTCAATATTTTTAACCATTTTTAATGATCAATATCTTTATGATAGCCAATTGTCTCTGTCATGGCTATCTCACTACTATCAGATATGAAGTGTTACCAGTGTTTACCAAAATCCTCCATGTTGATTGTACATTACATATTTCCTAAAATAGGAACAAATCTAAAATGGAAATTGAAGATAAAATGAGAATTAATTTGCTAAAAGGAATATTGGAATCTGGATAAATGCATTGTCTCAGTCTCTCTTGCTACTTCTATCTCAAGATGAATGAAGAAAAAGATCTTGTGAAGAAAGAAAATCTACTGGAGACTATTTTGTTACTGTTTTCAGGTTTTAGAATACATTTGCTTATTTTTCTTGGATATTGATATATGTGAGACGGTGTTTCACAAAGTTCTCTGATTAGTAAAAATAACTCAATATAGTCATTACTCTCTGGCGACTGTCTGGCTGTTGCATATCCGACCTGATTGAATGCCAAGTATAATACTCCACTGCTCTCCCTTTCCACTGTCCCCAAATGTTTAATAATTTAAACTACTGACAATTTAATTCAGGTTGCTAATGAATGAGAAGCTAGATTTTCAAATAGCCACAAGGAAAACTCAATGACTTGAAACCAATACCAAATACAGAAAAAAATCTTGCCTCCTTAAAACAATTTCAAGAACGATTTAGTAAAGGATTTCTTAGGGAAAATACTTTAATACATACTTTATTTTCCATTAAAATTAGCTTATATCATTTCCGTAAGGTAAACTTTTTAAAAAGTAGAAGAAAAACCATACTGTTCCTTTTCCTGGGGAATAGCTATTGTTTGCAAATGACCCTTCTTCGTCCTCTACACATTCTTCAAAATTTAGAACCTCAAAGACAAAATATCTTTTTAATCTTTGTGAAGGAAATATCCTGTGTCACCTATCGTAAGACTAATGTCTGCTTTAAGGCAAAAATTTATTCTCTATTAAAATTGTTTTTTGGCCAAATTTGAAGTTAGATTCTACATTAAATATAAATTTCTATTACTTTTCAGAAGAACTCTGCACAATTTTTATTTTATTTTTTCTTTTCTGGAGAGTTTTTAAGCTGTAAGATATGTTACCTATACTGTAAAGATGGACTGAAATAAAAAATAAAACTTGAAAAATATTTGCTTTCATAGCTGCAAAGTTTAATGGCCCTTGCTGTATTTGACTGCTTAAGATGGCTTATTCAGAAATCAAACAAACAGAAGATTTGGTATTCTCATGGTTTCTTGCACTATTTTTTCCATGTATGTAAATATTTAAAATTATTTCAGATATCTGGTTATTATTATTGCTTTGATTATGTTGACATAAAAGGTTTCATAAACGAACTGGACACAGGAAATTGTAGTCTTCTAGAATTTTCACTGTCGGAAGAAGAAACAAAATGAATAAAAGAAAAAAAAATTGCTGTGGTGTCATGGAGAAATTCTGAATCTTCAGAGAGAGATAAAAATGCAACAGAATAACTTGCATGTCAATTTATACTGCATCAAAACTGCAGTATATAATCAGGATTTTTCAGTTGGTAACCCACTATCAATTTGAATAAAAAGAAAAATTGTTATGAGACTTGATTGAAAATCCAATCTGCAGGATTTATTAGCAAAAACCTTGATAATAAGAAAATTAAAACAAAAATTTTTCAGGAATTAAGCTAATCTGGAAGTCTGTTAAAACCTAACCCAAAGCCTATCTCAATCAATTTTACTGTTTTAGGTATTTTTTGGTCAGTCCTTCAAAATGGCATAGATGTCACTGAGATATTAGAGTTATCACAACAGGTTAAAACAGAACAGATTTGAAAACAATATACCTTAAATAAGAGAAAGCCCTCTTCTTCTCTTCTTCTGTTACTCACATTATTTTCTGTACTTCATAATATATTTTGAATTTCAATTTAGGCAAGATTCCTCAAAATTGTATTATGTAGTGCTTTGTGCTTTTCCAAAGACTTCAGGGTGATCTCAGAATGGAATCTTGTTTTCAAACAAATAGAACAGAAGTGAAGTCATTGAAAGGGAAGTAGCATAAAGTACAAAATCTGCTTTTATATTTGTGCATGCTGGTCAGCCCAAAGAAACTTGTATCAAAAGGGCAAATTCGACCTCAAGCACTGTGAATGTGATTATCTCATAATCTATTTCTTTAGAGAAGAAACTGTAACAGCTCTTTTGCCCACAGACAGGAATTTGTTGGTGTAAGGAACTTTTTATCCATGCTGATGTATCTATTTCCACAAAATAGGTCACCATTTATATGGAATGTCACCAAGCAGACTTTATTCTTAGGAAAGTTTACTATTTGAGTGCATTAAAGTCTTTATGAATTAATAAATCACAGAAATACATTCAATTTTTAGCTGACAGAGCTATCCTTATTTCCCTAGAAACTCTCTGCAACAATTTCTATCAAATATAGTGACATTTTAGATTAATTGCCAGTCACTCCCTGCTGAACTCAGCCAACAAACTACCTGTGACTCAAACAGATGTTTCTGTATTTCAGGAAAAACTATAACATGTTTGTATTCCCTTTGCTCCCTCACCTAGATCAGCTGTGAGAAACACTTTTAGTGGAGATATTGCAGGGATTTTACTCAAGAAAAGCAAGTTTCTGTCTCACCAGTATTGCTGCAGTATAGCCTGAGTTTCCATTGGGAAGCATGTAGGGGAAAACAAGGGATGGAATATTATTAAAAGCAAAGGTTGGTTTCACTGAAGTAACTATATTGATAGTGCAAAAGCAGGAAGGCAGGAAGTGAGAACTGGGGGAGGAATGTGTTCTTAAAATTAGAAAATATATTTTTGTTCTGAGATCATTTCCATAAATATTTTTAGAAAGATGGAGAAAAAAAGTAGCCATTCAAGGCAAAGGAGTCCTGAAGGGAGCTAATCTGAGGCAGAGTAAATGCAACACACAACAGTACAACAGTACTGCATGACAGTAAGACAAAATGTTAGGACCAAAGCACTGTGTCAAGTCTCCCTTTGGATTTCGTTATGGTCTTCAGGCACCCCAAGGAATTCTATCATGGGGGGAAGATGAAAAAGTTTTTCCTGCAGATGCTTTAGCAAATGCTACAATTCCCCAGCTGGAAAGAAATGGAACAATGGCTGGCACCCACAGCTGAATCTATACGTACTACCTCTGCTGTCCTTTTATATCGTTTTTCTGAGCATCAGTACCCTCCTAACTCTCCTACACGTACTCCTGTGGTGCCCTTTTATTCTTCAGTTCCTGCTTTTCTTAGAGAGATGGGAAAATATGTCTGATAGTCCGCTTTAGCTGCATCTCATTTTCTATCTCAAAATACTAAATCACCCAAATAAAATTGGATTAATGAGAACTGTGGAGTTCTGCACAGTTATGCATAGACAGATCGTAAATTATCATTTCTTCTTGAATACTTTATTTCTTCAGTAACATTCAATTTCTATTTCAATATAATTTTATTTTTCCCCAAATCCACCATTTCTGCAGGAAGACGTAGAAAAGTATTTTATATGGGAAATATTTTATCTATATGCAGAATTTGTAAGGTGTGTGTGTGTGTGTAGTTTTAACTCACTTCCTTTCCCATGCAATAAATGACATTGATTTATTTATTTTTTTTAAACTAACACTAATCTCACTCCAGCTTTCATCTGATTTATCCTCTACTGTCAGACTTCATTTTAAAAACTATAAAGCTTTCTAAACTTTTTGTTTCATTCCTTCCTCCTCAGCAGTAAGAGATTTTAAGTAAAGTCTTTGTCTTTTTTGTTGTCTTCCACTTCCATGCTGTCTATGGATCAATAGCTTAGGGTCACTGTGATCGCTTGAATAATGTGCTATTTCTGCGCTTCTATGCATCAGTTTTGGAAGAATGGAGATGTGGAACCAGTCTCAAAGGTCTACCTGGAAGACATGCTGTGGTGAAAGTACATCTATATTTGAAGTTTGAAGGAGTTCCAGAAGCTCTGGGAATAGCATTTATTTGTTCTGTGTGGGACTATTCAAAGCTATTTTTTTAAGCATTAAAACTAGAAAGTTTGGATATAATAAAGCACATTAAGATAAAACTGTCTCAAGATCCTGGGAGATATGTCTAATACAGAGAAAATAGTGTGTTCGTATTAGTTACTGCTCCTATACAAATGTTTCTGGATAGAAAATACTTTGATATGGATGTCTTTTTTTTTTTTTTTCTTTTTTTTTTTTTTTTTTTTTTTTATTCATAACTAAAAAATTTGAATTTGAAATTCTAAGTAATTTTCTGTGCCTTGGAAAAAATCTTTGCTTTACATCTATTGTGCAATGAATGCAATTTATCTCTTTTTTCTCCTTTGCAGCCTCTGAATATATAGACAGAAGGCTAACAGTACATTTTATCTCCAGAACTTTATAGTCAAGGATCATTGATATAAATTCCTCAAATTCACATAGAAAGTATCATGATTATAGTACTTTCATAGGCACTTATGATTCTTTATACAGCCTTTATACAAAGGATTTTAAGACATATCTTCGTGTTCTTGTTGTTAAGGTTTTTCTTTGTTTTGCCTTGTTTCCAAAGAAATTAGCTACAACAAGCCTGTATACACACCATATTTTTGTTAATCACAGGAAATGCCTTCTTGCTTTCTTATTACACTGCATGGTACTGCCGTGATTGAATCAGTGTCATTCACTACATATAGCCAAAATGTCAGCAACTGTAGTAAAAGGAAGGGAAAAGAAAGTACTTGCTATATAAAGTCTTAAGCTGCAATATTTTCTAAAGACACTACTGTCATTCAATACCCATCAGTGTTCCTAGTGCAAAGCATAGTGTTCATTATAGATTTAATTAATGTGTATTGAGATGAAATTAACTTATACGGTGCAATAATCCACATGAAATTCACAGAAATTCATTGAATTTGTTGTGAGAAAGGGAAGATGGAAAAATGAATGAATGGGAAACAGTCCTTGTACCCAGTAACTGACAGACTAACAGGTCAATTCACATATGTATTAAGCATCCGGGCAAAGTGTTCAGATGTCTGAGATGGAATATTTGTAAAATATATACAGTGACTCAGTTGCAATTTTTCTTTCTATTGTAAGGTGATTGGAATGTGACTGGAGACAGGGACAACAAACATCAAGGAATAAATCAGATCAGCATTTGCTGTTGTGTAGTTTTTAGAGAAACAAGACTGAATACAATTACTTTCAAATGCATACGCTGTTTAATTAAAAAGATCATAATAAATGGCACAGAAACACATTTATTAGGCTATTTAGGTAACTTGCTTAGAATCATAATATCGTAGAATGACTTTAGATTGGAAGGCATCGTAAACATGATCTAGTCCAAACTTCCCTACTATGGGCAGGGCTGTGATCCACTAGATCAGGCTGCCCAGGGCCCCTTCCAAATCTGGTCTTGAGCACCTCTAGGGATGGAGCATTCACAGTTTCTCTCAGAGTAGCCTACTGAAGCACCTCAAGACACTCTGGATAAAATTAAAATTATCGATGAACTAGTAGTAGAAATCACTCTTTCAAAGTTCTTCAACTTCTGGCATGGGAAAATGTTGCTGACTTTTTTTGCTAGGAGGCTGCTTGTGGAACTTGTTTCAAACCTTTTTACCCACCTTCTTGGCAGCAGCTCAGATCTGCTGTTTAACATTAATGCCAACCTCTAAGTTTCCATGTCTGATATAACTATTTCCACATTCAGTCATAGACAGTCCTACTGTAGCTTAAAAAGTTGCAGCAGGTTCTATGGATCATATGAAGGCCAAGAAGAAGTTTTATATACACAAATACATATATATATATATACACTTATATACACATGTATATATACATGATTATATTGATACAGTTATATGTATGTATATGTATTTATATGCAAATATGTGTTCATATGTGTATTTATATATATAAATCTAAAATGACAATTGGATTAAAACATGATATACTAAATGATACAAAAAATTAGTTAAGCAGCTTACTTTGAAAATAGATCAATTGGAGTAAAA